ATGGGGGGACACACGACAGGGATGGGGACACCCTGACAGAGCCCTGGGCAGGGGGGCAGAAGATGGGGGAGGTGGGGGGACGACACAATGGGGATGCCCCACCAGACCCCTTGGCAGGGGGGCAGAAGATGGGGGGGACACCCCATGGGGACATCACACGGGACCCCTCAGCAGTGGGGCAGAAGATGGGGGGGACACATGATGGGGATGGGGGGACCCCACCGGAGTGTGGTGGACACATGATGGGGACACCCCAATGGACCTCTCAGTGGTGGGGCAGAAGATGGTGGGGACATGCAATGGGGATGAGGGACGCCCTGCTGGACCCCTGGGCAGTGGGGCAGAAGATGTGGGGGACATGGAAGAGGGATGGGGACACCTCAATGGACCCCTCAGTGGTGGGGCAGAAGATGGTGGGGACACGCAACGGGGATGGTGATGGGGTGTCCACAGACACCCTGCTGGACCCCTGGGCAGTGGGGCAGAAGATGGGGCTGCCCCACACGTCCCCCCCATCCCGGCGGTACCTGAGCACCAGCTGGAGCATCACGTCCTCGCAGTTGAGGCTGAGCAGGGTCCGGAAGAGGCTGAGGGACACCATGCAGAGCTGGGGGGACACGGGGGGTGAGGGACACGCAGTGGGGCAGCCCCTCAGTGGGGCAGAAAAGCGTCAGTGGGGCAGAAGGGCAGCCCCATGGATGGGGCAGCCCCATAGACGGGCAGGGTAGTGCCATGGACAGGCAGTCCCATGGGGCAGCCCCTCAGTGGGGCAGGAAAGCATCAGTGGGGCAGAAGGGCAGCCCCACAGGGCAGCCCCATGGACAGGCAGACCCATGGGGCAGCCCCACAGAGGGGCAGGAGGGCAGTAGTGGGGCAGAAGGGCAGCCCCATGGACGGGCAGCCCAGTGGGGCAGCCCCTCAGTGGGGCAGAAAAGCGTCAGTGGGGCAGAAGGGCAGCCCCATGGATGGGGCAGCCCCATAGACGGGCAGGGTAGTGCCATGGACAGGCAGTCCCATGGGGCAGCCCCTCAGTGGGGCAGGAAAGCATCAGTGGGGCAGAAGGGCAGCCCCATGGATGGGCAGCCCCACAGGGTAGTGCTACGGCTGGGTAGTCCCATGGGGCAGCCCCTCAGTGGGGCACGGGGGCAGCCCCACAGACAAACAGTCCCATGGGGCAGCCCTTCAGTGGGGCAGGAAAGCATCAGTGGGGCAGAAGGGCAGCCCCATGGACGGGCAGCCCCACGGGGTAGTGCCATGGCCACATAGTCCCATGGGGCAGCCCCTCAGTGGGGCAGGAAAGCATCAGTGGGGCAGAAGGGCAGCCCCATGGACAGGCAACCCCATGGGGCAGCCCCTCAGTGGGGCAGGGGGGCAGCCCCACAGACAGACAGTCCCATGGGGCAGCCCTTCAGTGGGGCAGGAAAGCATCGGTGGGGCAGAAGGGCAGCCCCATAGATGAGCAGCCCCACAGGGTAGTGCCACGGCTGGGTAGTCCCATGGGGCCGGCCCTTAGTGGGGCAGGAGGGCAGCCCCACAGACAGACAGTCCCATGGGGCAGCCCTTCAGTGGGGCAGGAAAGCATCGGTGGGGCAGAAGGGCAGCCCCATAGATGAGCAGCCCCACAGGGTAGTGCCACGGCTGGGTAGTCCCATGGGGCAGCCCCTCAGTGGGGCAGGGGGGCAGTAGTGGGGCAGAAGGGCAGCCCCATAGATGAGCAGCCCCACAGGGTAGTGCCACGGCTGGGTAGTCCCATGGGGCAGCCCCTCAGTGGGGCAGGAGGGCAGCCCCACAGACAGACAGTCCCATGGGGCAGCCCTTCAGTGGGGCAGGAAAGCATCAGTGGGGCAGAAGGGCAGCCCCATGGATGGGGCAGCCCCACAGATGGGCAGGGTAGTGCCATGGACAGGCAGTCCCATGGGGCAGCCCCTCAGTGGGGCAGGAAAGCATCAGTGGGGCAGAAGGGCAGCCCCATGGACGGGCAGCCCCACAGGGTAGTGCCATGGACAGGCAATCCCATGGGGCAGCCCCTCAGTGGGGCAGGGGGGCAGCCCCATGGATGGGGTAACCCCACAGATGGGCAGAGTAGTGCCATGGACAGGCAGTCCCATGGGGCAGCCCCTCAGTGGGGCAGGAAAGCATCAGTGGGGCAGAAGGGCAACCCCACAGACAGGCAACCCCATGGGGCAGCCCCATGGATGGGCAGCCCCACAGGGTAGTGCTACGGCCGGGTAGTCCCATGGGGCAGCCCCTCAGTGGGGCAGGGGGGCAGACCCACCGACAGACAGCCCCATGGGGCAGCCCCACTGAGGGGCAGCAGTGGGGCAGAAGGGCAGTGCCACGGCCAGGGAGGATCTTGGGGGTCCACAGGGATGTCTGTGGGTGTTCATGGGTTGGTGTGGGTGCCTACGGGGTGTCTGTGGGTTGGTGTGGGGGTCAGTGTGGGTGTTGGTGGGTCGCTGTGGGTCAGTGTGGGTCGCTGTGGGTCTCACCCACAAGTTGCTGTTGATGTTGATGAGTGTCAAGGATGGTGGTGCTGTCGCGGGTGTTGGTGGGTCAGTGTGGGTGTCCATGGGTGGGTGTGTGGTTCTGTGGGGTGTCTGTGGGTCGCTGTGGGGTGTCTGTGGGTCGCTGTGGGGTGTCTGTGGGTCGCTGTGGGGTGTCTGTGGGTCGCTGTGGGGTGTCTGTGGGTCGCTGTGGGGTGTCTGTGGGTCGCTGTGGGGTGTCTGTGGGTCGCTGTGGGGTGTCTGTGGGTCGCTGTGGGGTGTCTGTGGGTCGCTGTGGGGTGTCTGTGGGTCGCTGTGGGGTGTCTGTGGGTCGCTGTGGGGTGTCTGTGGGTCGCTGTGGGGTGTCTGTGGGTCGCTGTGGGGTGTCTGTGGGTCGCTGTGGGGTGTCTGTGGGTCGCTGTGGGGTGTCTGTGGGTCGCTGTGGGGTGTCTGTGGGTCGCTGTGGGGTGTCTGTGGGTCGCTGTGGGGTGTCTGTGGGTCGCTGTGGGGTGTCTGTGGGTCGCTGTGGGGTGTCTGTGGGTCGCTGTGGGGTGTCTGTGGGTCGCTGTGGGGTGTCTGTGGGTCGCTGTGGGTCAGTGTGGGTGTCCATGGGTGGGTGGGTGTTTCTGTGGGGTGTCCATGGATGTCTGTGGGTCACTGTGGGGTGTCTATGGGTCGCTGTGGGGTTCTGTGGGGTGTCTGTGGGGCTCACCCGTGAGTTGCTGTTGATGCGCCCCACCAGGGTGTCCAGGATGGTGGTGCTGTCGTGGGTGTCTGTGGGTTGGAGTGGGTGTCTGTGGGGTGTCTGTGGGTCGCTGTGGGGTGTCTGTGGGTGGCTGTGGGTCTCACCCATGACTTGCTGTTCATGTGCCCCACCAAGGTGTTGATGGTGGTGCTGTCGTGGGTGTCTGTGGATCATGTGGGTGTCCATGGGGGGGCGTATGTTTCTGTGGGGTG